GGAACTGTCTGGGTATCGGTCAGCAGGTGGTGAGCAATTGCATTGTGCATCACTTGCTTTGTATATTACTATTATCATTATTACATTGTTATTATTATCATTACCATTTTACTTTATTTCAATTATTAAACTGTTCTTATCTCAACCCAGGAGTGTTTCTCATTCTTACTCCTCTGATTCTCTCCCCCATCCCATCGGGGTAGGGGGAGTGAGCAAGCGGCTGCATGGTGTTTAGTTGCTGGTTGGGGCTAAACCACAAGAGTAAGGAAAAAAAGCTCCATTCTTGAGGTAATTTTTAATATGCCTATTTCCACTGAATTCCCTACTACTAAGAAAAATGGAGCAGCATTTTGGAGCCACTAATTCTGGTGACAGTGCAAGAGCATACATTTACATATACACATCCAATATTTTAAAGAGTTTTAGAACCAGAAGCTTCTAATTTTGCATTGCATGTGCCCTGAAATATTCAGATCCTTCACACACTATGATAAGGAGGCATGCAGTTGGATCACTTACTTCCCAAAGACAGTGTACTTCATGTCTAGGTGTGGCTGCTTGCCGTAAGTGATGAAGAACTGCGATCCATTGGTATTCGGACCATTGTTTGCCATTGAAACTACCCCACGGACACTGTGCTGAAAAAAGGAAAAACCTCAACATGAATACACATCTGTGAAAGCAGGACTTCAACCTATACAAAGTGCTCTGTGACTTAGTACTCTGCCTCAATATGATTATTAAGAACAAATCTTGGTTGCTAATATATTCCATCACAGTCCATAAATTAGCTACTCAAAATTGCTCTTACAACAAAAAATTACTTCTTTGCCTTCAGTGCATGAAAAATACTTTGTTACAATTCTTTCTACTTCTGTTCTCAGTGATGAAAACCCTCAAGCCTAACTTGCTAAGTACAGAAATGCCCGTTCCTATTTTAATAATAAGCTTTCTATCCCCTTATTGCACGATTATACTTTGCTTCACCATTACAAAAGAGGTATTTAATACAGTACAACACAATGCTGATCGTTCTCCAACCTGTAAAGAAAATTCATATGGAAACATAACTGCATATTGAGAGCACAGAAATACCTTTAGGTATTCACTGAATTCATCTTCAAACTTCTTGCCCCAGATGCTGTTACCTCCTTTCCCAGTGCCTGACAAGGAAGCACCACAACAGATTACTGGATTTTCAGACTGAAAAATCCAGAAATGATGTACTGTTATAACATTTTACAACAAAGACCCTAGATAGAGTGTAATTTGTTTGAGGCAGGGATGGGGTTCTCGTGTCTTGATACTGAGCAGAGACACAACTCTATATAAGGAACACCTATTAAGTAGCAGAACGAAACACTGACGTATCCTCAAATTAAATTCAGTATGAGTACAAACAGACACACAGTTGAATCAGATTTTCTCCTGAACAGTGTCAACTGTTCGGGACATTTTTCCAAAATGCTTTAGAGGCAGCATAGCCTTTCAGGCAGAAACCAGAGAAACCACAGCAGCAGCTGCTACCTGTTCAACAGCTGGTAAGTCAACAGAACCATCATATTTAGTGGAAACAGATGGAAAAACTAAAGTTTGTAGAATGCTTTACTACTGCATGACTACTTAGAACTAGGGTAACGGCTGCTCTTCTGTAAGCTCACTGCAGAAAACTAATCTCATCATAAAAACCTCTACCAACAATACAATAATTATTATATTTTATTTTTACTTTATTTAAGTTTTTGTGTTAATATTCATACTTATAATTTCTTTATATTTCTTGATATTTATATTTATGTACATTTTTCTACAGAGAGACCCTGACAGAAGAATTTACCTAATGGATCCCCTGTCTGAACCATGAAGCCCTTTATATTCCGGTGAAATACGCAGCCATTGTAGTAGTTACTAGCACAAAGAGCCAGGAAATTCTAAGGAAATGAAACAAACCATATTAACAAACAATTCAGAAATAGTATTGTCTTAATAAAATGACAGCATTGGCAGGGCCAAGACTCACCCTTTTGTCTCTGCTTTGCATTGTGACCATGTGAATTTCACAGAGTATTGCCACAGAATAGTCATAAACAAATTATAGTTAACATGCTCCTTTGACACTGTCACAGATACAAAGGATTTTAAATAAAGCTTACAGCACAAGGTTGTCTGACTTGAGGAACAAACAAGAAGCCTGAGACATGCTCAGAAGTATCACTTCCATTCAGCATTTTTATTTTGTAGACGTAATTTTGTAATCAGTATCCTCGTGCCTCAGCTTTGTTAATTAAAAAGTAAATTATTTCAATTTAAGCTTAAGTTTATTGCAGAAAGGAAAACGTGGGGCCTCTGACAAATTGCGAATGATTCTCACTCTTTTAAATTAAAATAAAATCTGTGCGAGTGTGAGCAAACCCAGGGAAATTTGGGAATCCCAGGCCATGTGCTATATTTCCCCTTAAGGGCAAAGTACGCTTTGGGAGATGCTAGAACTTGGAGAAAAGCGGCCCTTAGCTAGACTTTATCTGGCGAGAAACAGGCAGCAAAGCGCTAGGCAGTATGACACAGTGCACAAGTATACAGCACACAAGTTCCACGAGTGGTCTAGGCACTGTACCAGCTTAAAAGATTAGTATTCCATTACGTGAAAAGATTAATTGAAAAAGTGACTTCACCTCCTCTACTGTCTTCACTATTTCTACTGCTTTGTTTCAACACTAGGCAATCCCGCTCCTGTTACTTGACTTACTTCACAAGTCTTTGGTGTACGCTCACAGAATAGTTCGATTTTAATATCTCCTACATCAGTATGCAGCGTGACAGCCTGAGCAAGAGGCAGAAAATAATAATTAAATCAGCAATGAAATACTAACAGACTCAGTTTTATTTCCCAGTCCCACTAAGAATATAAGCAAGTTTCCACTGCGTATAACCACTGTTTCAATATTTGGCCATAGGCAAGGCTACTGTCACAAAACTTCCACATTTGCAGTGAAATCACCAGAAAGCACTTGGTTTCATTTAGTTTCAGGACAAATGAAGTTCGCCACGGTAACGCAGCAGCTCTGTTTCATGCTGTTACACTCTAGAGATACATTACTCATTTGCAAACTGGACCTACTCAGTCACTTAACTGCAAAGTTGAAGAATCAAGGTTATATATATTTCAGATGATAGTGTGGTGCACACACCTCCTGGTTTACAACCCTAGGAACAATGGATGCGTGTTACTTGCCTGCAGCCTTTTGAGTGATAAGGCTAGTTCTGAGTAGCGCTGTATATAATCTACCTTCACAAACAAGCAAATCTACAAAATTACGCACTTAAGAATTTATAAATTTAAAATGGCAGTTACCCAGCTACCGAAGTGAATATATCCCTATAGGCCCAATATATCACAGTGCCCCCATGGAACGTGCTAAACTATGCAAAAACAATTACTGTGGGGCTATACTGGGGATAAGCGTACAGGAAAACAAATAAAAATCAGCATCGTGTTGATACTGGCATACTGTTCCAGAAGCATACAGGTAAATAAGATAGTTGCCTGCAATGTCCATGAAGATGCTATAAAAGGTGTATGTACAGTTTAAGACATGCAGTCTTATCTCTCTCTCCTGATTTGCTAAACTTTTACAAGCCTGCAAGTGTAGAAGGTTACACACACTCACGCAGGGCTATGTGCTTGCAACTTTAATTCTATTTCTGTGGTTAAAGAAACCAAACTAGATTACTAAATATTAGCCAAAGTAGGATTAAAATTTAGGACCTTAGAACTGAAAGTCTAATAATATTTTAGACTGATGTAAACTGACCTATTTTCCTTTTCACAATATCTAGTTAGAAGTCTGAAATGAAAACCTAAACTTTTCATTACAAATTCTTCTCAGCATCAGGGTAAAATGTATAAACCTTCGAGATGCAGAGCAGCTATTCACATTCCAAGAGATGACCATTTCAGAAGGAATGAAAATATGTAAAAAGTGCTATTGTTCTCACCATGTCTGCTTATCAAACAGCTGAGGTAGATTTGTACACAGCAATTTCCTGCAAAAGAAAACACATTAAATTTGTTGGGTTTTTTCTCACCAATCCCCAATTCTTTTTGATTCTAAAATATTTGTGTGGTTATATGCTTTTACACCATGCGGTTTTACAGTGCCATCCAAGTGACTCTGTGGATCAATGTTTTACTTGCGTTACGCAACTACGCAGCATATAAAGAACTAGAAAGGAGTAGAATAAAATAGCTTAAAGAAAGGGGGTGGGGGCAAAAAAACACCCTTTCCTAAGATGGAAGTTTATACTAAGCAATCACAGCTTTTCCAAAGGTTATGGTTTTATAAATTAACAGATAAAACCCACATGCCAGTACCTAAACAGCAGTGTGATTCGGAGCCACCTTCTGACCGCTGTCGGTGCCTGCAACAGACGGGTACCTGCATCCAAGCACAGGATCAAACTTTTTTAATCCGAGGAATATCTTCAAATAAAGCATTTGGAACGATGATAATGAAATCGCAGTTGCAGACTGCTAATTTCTTCTCTAGATACTGCCCTCCCAGGTTAGCCCGCAGGCTTGGCAAGGCCTCTCACAGCAGCCGGGGAA